ACTACAAAAAGTGGCGGGAGATATGAGCATATGGAGCAGGGAGGTAGTAGGGGAGTTGGGGGGAAGACTAAAAAGGGAAAAAAAAAGAGCTGGAAGCGTGCATGAGGGAGATAGTGTCGGAGCATAAAATCAAAGAAGAGGCTCGGCTGCGGTGTCTGATTGAGGAGCTTGAGGAGAAGAAGCATGCGCAAATGAAGCAACGGGCCCATATGTGGTGGCTTAGGGATGACAATATGAACATTAAATATCTGGAGTCGGAAGCCTCGGCTAGGAAGAAAACTAACCGAATAAAGGAGTTGTGGAAGGAGGATGGAACGGTGGTAGAGGAAGGTGAGGAGTTAACTAACTATGTGTGTTCGTTTTTTCAGGACCTTTTCTTAGCATCCTCTAATCCTCATCGATTGCCGGAACTCCTTGAAAAGGTGCAGGCGCGGGTAACTGAGGCCATGAACAACATCTTGCTTGCTGAATTCACTCGTGAGGAAGTAAAGGCGGCCCTTGACCATATCGGCGATCTAAAGGCCCCGGGACCGGATGGCATGCCGGCGATTATGTTTAAAAGGCATTGGCATTTCATGGGGGACCAAGTAATGGATGAGGTGCTGCGAGTGCTAAATGGAGGAGACATGCCTGAAGGATGGAACGACACGCATGTGATCCTAATTCCCGAGGTAAAGAATCCACAGAGGATAAAGGATCTACGGCCGATCAACCTATGCAATGTTCTGTATAAGTTAGTCTGCGAAGTGATAGCCAACAGACTGAAGATGATTCTCCCATCGCTGATTTCTGACAACCAGAGTGTGTTTGTCCCGAGAAGATTAACAACGGATAATGTACTTATCGCTTATGAGCTTTCTCGCTATGTCATGAACAAGAAGAGTTGGAAGGATGGGTACATGGCGGTGAAGGCCGACATGAGCAAGGCATATGATCGAGTAGAGTGGTGCTTCCTTGAGGCGATGATGTGCAAGATGGGCTTCAGGAGAGAGTGGGTGGACTTAATCATGAAATGCGTCAGAACGGTTTGATACCAGATCAAAGTTAATGGGGGTCTTACACACCAGTTCTGCCCATCTAGAGGATTGCGCCAGGGGGATCCGGCCTCCCCTTATCTTTTTGTGATATGTGTCAAGGGGCTGTCAGCCTTACTCCATCATGCAAAACAGCGAGGGAAGGTAAGTGGGATCAAGGTGTGCCCGAGAGCACCATGCGTATCACACTTGTTCTTTGCAAACGACTCGATGTTGTTGATAAAGGCGAAGCAACAAGAGGCCGAGGCACTACATGAGATACTACAGTTGTACAAAGAATGTCCGGGTCAATGCATCAATGTAGAGAAGTCAGCCCTCATGTTCAGTCCCAATACAGAGGATGGATTTAAAGAGAGCATCAAGAATACACTCAATATAATGAGTGAAAATTGGAATGAGAAGTACCTTGGCCTCCCTGTACACGTCGCGCGTTCTAGAAGGGAGACATTTGCATACATAAAGAAGAATATGTGTGGGCGGGTCTATGGCTGGCACGAGAGGCTACTGGCAAAGGAGAGCAAGGAAGTGCTTGTTAAAGGTGTAGTGCAGGCAATCCCTACTTACGCAATGTCCTGCTTCGATCTGACTAAAACCTTTTGCACGGAACTGAACACATTACTGGGCAACTTCTGGTGGAGTCAACAAGACAAACAGAATCTGATGCACTGGCTAAGCTGGGACAAACTTATTCAACCCAAAGCAATGGGAGGTCTAGGCTTCCGGGACATGCATAGTTTCAATATTGCTATGCTATCGAGGCAGGGTTGGAGATTGATCCAAAACCCTGAGAGTTTGTGTGCTAGAGTTCTCAAGGCCCGGTATTTCCCGCATAGCAGTGCAATTGAGGCGGTAGCTCATGATGGCATCTCATATTCTTGGCGCAACATCCTACATGGGCTGGATCTTGTGAAACAAGGATACATATGGCGGATTGGTGATGGGGCTATAGTGGATATTTGGAGCGACCCGTGGCTTCCAAGGACCTGGTCGAGACGTGTCATTACGCCGAGAGGGGCGAGCCTGCTGACTAGGGTCGAGGAACTTATAAGCCCGATTACCAGACAGTGGGACGAAGAACTAGTGCGAGACACTTTTTATGAAGAAGATGCCCGGTATATCTTACAAATCCCCTTGAGAGACGGTGTGGATGATTTCATCGCCTGGCACTTTGATAGCAAGGGGAACCACTCGGTCAAAAGCGCTTATAAGCTGCACGTCGAGCTAGGCAAACATGAGCAGAATGGGGCACCAGGGACGAGCTCAGCTGGCAGAGGGCGACTGGATGCAACCGGAGATCAGTCCTGGAAAAGGATCTGGAAAATGTCGTGCCCACGGAAGCTTCAAATGTTTGTCTGGCGGCCGTGCCATGAATCGTTGGTTGTATGTGTAAATTTGATGAGGAGGGGCCTTAAGTTAGATTAGTCGAAGTGCTTCTTCTGCAGTAGAGCTGAGGAAGATGGAGTGCATCTGTTCATAAAATGCAAGCACGTCAAGCAAGCCTGGAGGGAGCTGGGCATGGAGGAGGAGAGAAGCAAGCTAGAGGAATTAACAAGTGTGCGCGCCATGCTGGATGCCCTGTGGGGCTTTTCTGAAAACAGACGGGTAATTGTCATCACTTTGTGGTGGCATTGGTGGAACATTAGAAACAAGATCAGAGAGGGGGAGCTAGCTCCGGGGGTCTTTGAAACTATAAAAAGGATGAGATGCAGCGCCTTGGAGTATGAGGAAAGATTTGTGCCTAACAAGAAGGATAGACAGACGGGGAAATGGCAGCCACCTAGTGCAGACGAGCTCAAAGTTAACCTCGACGGAGCTTTTATACCCGGCAGTAATTTCTGCGTGTGGGGCTCTGTGATCCAGGACTCTACAGGGCACATCATTGCGGCTAGAGCAAGTCGACAAGAGCAAAATGAGGATGCCTTTGGAGCGGAAATTCAGGCAACGGCTGGAGCGGTCGCTCTTGCGGCTGACATTGGCGCTGCCCGGGTTATATTCGAGACCGACTCCCAGCTGCTGGCCGAGGCGCTTGACGTACGCAAAAATGACTCGTCGCCTTACGCTGTCGCCCTTAAAGACATTAAGCTCCAGCTCAAGCTTTGGTTTGCGAGACATAGGGTTCGCGCATGTAGACAGAGTGAGAATACCGCAGCACATGAATTGGGCCAGATTGGTCGTATGTGTATGCCTGGTATATGCATGGAGTGGGAAAATGATGTACCGCCCTCAGTGGCTGCTTGTGCATTGGGTGATTTGCCCACGCACCGCTAATCTATAAGAGCTTTTTTATGGTACCCTATACTGCTATAGATGAAAGTGAGCAGTATACAATCATCTACGCCGTTGATTTCCCGAGGGCAGTCTCGTCAGATTTCCGTTTTCTAGAATAACGCTAACCCATCAGCAATTGGTATGTCCGTCCTGGTTGTGCTGTCGCCCTGTTCCCCGCCGCCCACTTGACGACTAGTCGGCTCCGCCGTCATCGAACTCGCCACTACGTCCTGGCTTCCCAGCTCGCCCTCGCCACTGGCTTCCGCCCGCGTGCTTGACCTTGACCGTCGGACATTGGTCGACCTGGCCGTAGTGTTGTCGAACCTCCAGCCGGGCCTCGTATCACCCTTGTTGTACGTCCACGCCCTAGTCAGTATAGGTCACGTTCTCGACGGAAATGTTCTGTTTTTGGTTGATTGATAGAGTCGATGATTGGTGGCTTCTGAAATACCACCTCTAATTTCCCTAGCTATATGGCGCCCAGCGGTCGCGAGCGGCCCTGCCGAAGAAGAGGAGCTCGTCGAAATCGCGCTCAGTCCACGGCCATGGCTGAGTAAGGACGCGGAAGAAGATGAGATGCAGCGGCGACCGCCGGAAGGAGCGGAAGGGGAGCCGGGACGAAAGAAGGCCTCGTCGAGGAAGACGTTACAGGTGCACGGGCGGTGGTAGCAGCATCGGTCCACGAGCATGGTCGACAATATGGAAGTGATGAGGCGGCCGCTGGAATCCTAGCCGACGGACGCGTGCTTACGGCCGAGCAGAACAAGTGAAGAGAACGGGTCGCTCGGTCATGAGGCGGGCTGACTTTTTTCTCTTCCTAAATCATCCTCACGGCAAGTATACTGCTCCACCTGAAGCGGCCAATGGTACCTATGCCGCTGGCGATGGTCCTCCCGCAGTTGAGCAGTATGGATGGATCGCCACCCTTAGATTTTGATAATAGACGGTCCATATCTATTAGGGGGTACAGTAAAAGAAGCTTTGCTTTGCTTTCAGAAAAAAGAAAAAGTACCGTTTGATCCACGGGGGATGCCTTGATGATGGTCTTTTCCTTGTCCACGAGAAGAGGGTGTAGGGTGTCAAGCCACCGCCCTATACATTAATTTGAGGGTTAATTGTATCATCCTTACTCGTTGCTAGCCTTATTTTAAGTGCTCACCGTATGATCGTGCAACACGTCTACCATGCGAGGAAGGACGGCATTTTGGTTCACTGTATCCCGTGTGTTACTTGTGCAGGATTAGTGCTCCGTGGAGCTTTACTGTGGGTTTACTTTAGTTACACTTTGTACCACGACAATCTCTGCAGCTATTCTCTGTTCTCAAACACTATTCTTGCGTACTGGTTGCTTAGCATGCACCCGATTATGGATTGATCAACCTATAATTAATCTTCTGAAACCTCCACACTCCATATGAACATTGTACCTAAAACCTCTCGTCTATTTTCAATCATTTTTAGTTCCGGATAAAAATGGCTTCTTGGCGTCATCTTGAAGTCAAATTTTGCATAAGAAAGTCAACCTCAAGAGAGCATAGCTACCCCGCTGACTTCCTGCCCATGATCTCTTCTATATAAAGCGTGACCCTTGAGAGACATTCCCTCCACACAACAACCACATCCTTCAGCTCCCTGCTAATCAAGAGCAACGAGCCAATAAGCCAACCGCCTGCATCTGCATTACTTCTCGTCTCCACAATGGCGAACGCCACCCTGCTTCTCCTCATCACGGTGCTGGCCACGACCAGCGACATTGCCTCAGCCATGGCACGCGCCAGCGTGAGCCCCGGGCTGCCGGCAAGGAGGAGTCGTTTCCTGCTTATTGGCGGGGCTGCCCACCTGCCTCTGTCGGCGTACGAGTGCTCGAAGAAGTCGGCCGAAGCATGCCTCGCGACGGGGACGACGTGCTGCAACGGCCAGTGCGTGGACACCGTCGCCAGCGCGCAGCACTGCGGCGGCTGCAACAAGGCGTGCAAGCATGGACGGACGTGTTGTGACGGGCATTGCGTGGATCCGCTCTCCGACAAGAAGAACTGCGGCACCTGCTCTAACCAATGCAGCAAGAAGTGCAGCTACGGCTTCTGTGACTATGCGCAATAATCAGAGTTCAACACTACTGTCTGCCGTCGAAAGTCTTAGCTGAAGAACTGCACCATATATAGTGCATGCGCATGCAGAGGCAAAGGGAGGCATTGAGCTACAGTTTACCAACATACTGATTTACTATAATTATTGACGAGTCTGCTAATAAGGCATGAAATTGTGATAATTAGTATTGCTGCTGCTGTAGCAGTGGTATCCGCTATAGTGGTTTTGATTAACTGGAAAATTGTCATATCAGTTTATCTACCCGTGAGTCAGAATGAAACTGATCAAATCTGAATTTCTCGATATCTTGAGATTGTGATTAATTAGTTCTTTGTTAGCTATCCTGCAAACTCGTGGGTGCGGAACCCTTATTTTAATCGACGTCCTTGCAATGGAATTACAGTTATTTCAAAAGAGAATGTAGATGCATAAATGATTAGAAAAATTGTTAGAAGGCCCAAAACAATATATATCAAAATTCTCTAACTTTACAAGACCATCTTTGGAAGTAGAAAATAAAAACATGGGACCTGGGCATATCAACACTGTCCTCCTCATGCCCTCGCGTGCCGCGCCTGTTCAACTACATCACTGGAACACCCTAGGGTAACCGTTACCCTCGCTTTGAGGGTGTTTCTGAGATCTACAATTGTTATCACTTGCAAATTCCATATACATATAGTCAAACCGAAAATTCCTAGCAACCAATTACTGGAGGGATTTTCTCCTTTTTACGGTGGCCACATGACGCAGGCTGCCAGATAAAACTTCTACCATGTTCCCGCCACCTTGTAAGACAAGCGGTTGAGTCACGGTAGGAACCCCGAAGCGCCATGTCCTTTTGGAACAAGCGGTGATGGTGCTTCCTCTAGGTTGTGTTAGATAACTTACTGATCAGACAAGGGATAGTACCCGTTCGCCTTTGCTATCGCGAGGCAAGGGCGACCCGTGTTTCTCGCCTCCTGCGGGCTGCGTCGCAGATCTACCTCGTCTTCTCTGGACTTGGCCCATGGAGGCGTAGTGGATCTCTGCCTTTACCCATGGGAAGGCTTCTCCACCGTTTTTAGATGTATTTTTGTTTTTTTAGGGTTTGTGTCCTGTTCAGAAAGACAAGGCGGCAACTTTCTGAAGATGGAATACGGTTGTCCTCGCGTAGCCCCCATTTCAGCGGTGCGACTAGTGTCGTCGGAGGGCATGTGGAGGTGTGTCTCCAGCAGATCTCGCATGATTTGGTCGGCATTTGTCTTTGGTGAATCTACTTGGATCACGTCTTCGTTCGTCTATGTTTGTGGCTCTACAGATTGGATACTTCTAATCTACGCATTTCTTCATCGCCGATGGTTGCTGTTCTGTTGCGCTGGCCCTATGGGGCCTTAGCATGACGATTTTCCAACTGTCTACTACAACAAGCTTTGCTCGAATCCGATAAGGAAGGGGCGATAACGGCGGCACGCCTTCGGCTTGCTCCAGTGCATATAGTCGTTCATAGGTGGTCTACGGACCTGGATGTAATTTCTCTTACTTTTGGTGTTCTTTATACTACCATGAATAATGATGAATAGATTGAAAGTTTTTGTTGCAAAACAAGATAACTTATTGATCGAGAATGAAATAAAAACGAATTCTAGAGAATAATTGTTCTGCATTTGTTGGAACACAATGCTTTAAGACTTACTGCATCCACTAGGAAACAAGTAGCATTCTAAAATGTGTGCAATAAAACATTTTATAATTAAGTTTGACTATCAGTATGTGAAATATATTTAACTTATTTGACTTGATCAAGTGAACTAATAGATTTGTCATGATGCAACCATGAAACACATCTTATACAATTATGCTGCTTCTCTATAAGGCTAGCATTTTGGCCTCTCTTTTCTGGTGCCCTTTTCTGTCTTGTACTCTCCTTTCGTATATATCATGTACAAATACTCCTAAAATATTAAAGATACGTGTAGTAGGAAAAATCCCCACTCTTTTCCGTGAAAATAAAATAAAACAAGGCAAGCATATAAGTTGCCATGATAAAGTGAGACCTAAACTTTGGTTACCAAATGGCGTGAGGATGGGGTTTGTAGTTAACATGTATACGGGAATATTCCATAGTATTATTCTATGAGGTTTCTCATCACAATTGGAATTTATGTTTTCGAATAATTTGAAATTTTGGTAAATAGTCGGCAGTCATAAGGCAGCCACACAGTTACCAACAAATATTTGGAAAATAGTTAGGCTAGCTAGAAATTAAAGTCCCAATTAAATATTGCTAGGTAAGCTCCGTTAGCAAAGGGTTAGTCTGGTAACATGGCTCACTTGTTGAATTCACGACAAGGATCTTATGTTGTTTCTCTAGGGTGAGCAACCTCTATCCAACTTTCACTGATTAATCGACACCATCTATGTATGTGTTGTCTTCCATCTTTAGGTGGTGTTCAGAGTTCGAGAAGGTGAGAATGCATGAAGCCAACACCTTCAACATACAAGTTTTTTTTTTGAAGACACAATTTTAGATTACCAACTTATTCTTGCGATGTCGTCCTTAAAAACTACATCACTATGACGCGACCATTGTGAATGCCAATGGAGAAATCAATCGTCATGACGTCAATGGTGTCCCGTCTTAGGTTAGTATCAGTGTAACAAAATGGTAACCTGCATGCAATGGTGTGTTTTCATCTTGTGAGCTGACTTGTTAGTCTATTTCCTAGTTTGACAGCCTTGGCACAACTTTGCCCATAGTTGGTGCCGATACCAAAGTAGAGGGGTTTTCTTTTCTCCAAACGGTTTTAGAACATCCAAATGAACAAAACCTTTTTTGAGCAACGGCTTTATAATCCTTACATTGTAGTTTTAGGAACAAGGCCAATATTTTCACCGCTTCAAAATACGCTGCATATTCGGTTCCGTTATTACCTACTAGTATGTATTTATTTTACGGGACTTAAAATTGATGTCATTAGATTCGTATTCTGAAGTACTTGTTTGTGATTATGATTGTATATCGCAAACGCTATACTAATAGTGTAATTTTTGATCAAACATTTGTCCGAAAGTGACCTTATACACAAGATAATTTGGAATAGAGGGAGTATATCGCAGGTGATAACTAGACACGACGACCAAACCCGAGGCTTAAATCTGCCCCTTACCTCACTTGTGGGCTTCAAAGTTAAATTGTCACCTCTCATGAATAAAACTGATTTCATGCAAATCAAGTTGACAGTTCATTTAACTCCTCGATGATCACTCCATAGTCCCATATATTATTCGCGTGGATGTTCACCACAAAAGACAATCTGTAGCCACCTCAATCTTGGGGAGGATGATCTTGGCGTATATATTTATTACAGCTAAGTACAATGTATAGCTTATGTAAATTAATAGAGGATGACTTGCTGGCCTTTGCTCTTTTGCACGATTTGAGGGTGTAGCATGTAAAGCCACCAGCCCACCACCATGTGCATTAGTTTGAGTGTTGATTTTATCATACTTAATCTTTTCTTACCTTATTATAAGTCTCCGGCTTATGATCGCACAACACGTCTAGCATGCGAGGACCGCCGGCACTTGGTTCATTTCATCCCGTGCATTAGTTATTCAAAATCAGTGCTACGTGGAGCTTTACTGACGTTTACTTTAGTTACACTTCTTGCTACGACAGTGCCGCAGCCATTCTCTGTGCCTGCTCAACGCTATTGTTGCGAACTGGTTGCTTTGCAAGTACCTGGACTATGGATTGACCAATCGGCTCCTAATTAATCTTTCTCAAACCTCCAGACTCCATGTGAGCGTTGTACCTGGAACCCTTCGTTTATTTTCAATCAGTTTTCTGTTCCGGACAAAAGTGGCTTCTTGGCTTCATGTTGAAGTGAAATTTTGCACCAGAAAGTCAACCTCAAGAGAGCATAGCTACCCTGCTGACTTCCTGCCTATGATCTCTTCTATATAAAGAGTGACCCTTGAGAGACATTCCCTCCACACAACAAGCACATCCTTCAGCTCCCTGCTAATCAAGAGCAACGAGCCAATAAGCCAACCGCCTACATCTGCATTACTTCTTGTCTCCACAATGGCGAACGCCGCCCTGCTTCTCCTCATCACGATGCTTGCCACTAGCATCGGCGTCGCTACAGCCACGGCCGGCAGCAGCGGAACCCAACAACCACCGGCAAGGAGGAGCCGTTTTCTGCTTGTTGGCGGCGCTGCCCACCTGCCTCTGTCAGAGTACGAGTGCTCGAAGAAGTCGGCTGAAGCATGTCTCGCGACGGGGACGACGTGCTGCAGCGGCCAGTGCGTGGACACCGTCGCCAGCGCCCAGCACTGCGGCGGCTGCAACAAGGCGTGCAAGCATGGGCGGACGTGCTGCGGCGGGAGCTGCGTGGATCTGCTCTCCGACAAGAAAAACTGCGGCACCTGCTCTAACCAATGCAGCAACAAGTGCAGCTACGGCTTCTGCGACTACGCGCAGTAACCTAAGTTCAACACTATTCGCACCATATATAGCTAAAGTCATAGCTGAAGATCTGCACCATATATAGTAAATGCCCATGCAGAGGCAAGGGAGGCATTAACTCCCAACCTATTATTGATTTACTATAATTACTATTGAGAGCCCTTCTAGCACGGCATGAAATTGTGGCAAGTGGTATATTGCTGCCGTTGTAGCAGTGGGTATCCGCTTGTAATGTTGTTGATTATAACTAAATAAATGTCATATCAGTTTATCAACCCATGAATTAGAACGAAAGCGGTGAAATCCGAACTTCCCGGCATGTTGAGATTGTAATTAATTAGTGCTTTGTTAGCTATCTACAAGTTCGTGAGTGCGGAACCGCAGTTTAATCAACATCCTTGCAATGATATTACAGTTACTTCAAAAGAGAGTGTACACGCATAAATGATTAAAAAAATTGTGGGAAGGCCAAAACCATATACATATCAAAATTCTCTAGCTTTACAAGACCATCTTTAAAATTAGAAAATAAAAACATGGGTCCTGGGTATATCAATAT